AATGTCAAGAAATCACCTGGACTGACTAAAACATATTTATGTTTAAACAACAGTTGTCTGTCTTATCTTCAAATGTATTGCATGTTTCATCACTACAATATTTAAATGACTTTTACACTCTACGACACGTGTCAAACTCAGGTCCGGGACCAAATCTGGTCCGCATTGTAATTATATTTGGCCCGCGAGACCTATCAAACGTGTACTAGAGTCGACCTGCCACTACATATCCCCTATATACTGACAGGATTTGTAGTATTAGCAGTGTATGTGCTATGTTGTAGCACATTTTGTTTTTGTTTTTGGTGTTGGCCTGTAAAAAAAGATTTACATTAAAAAATAACTTGAAAGGCTACAGATGAAGAGAATTAATCAGAAACAAATACTACTGATGTTATTGTACTTATTTCAATAATTTCTGATGTGTTTATAATATTAAGCTTTGGTTGTTCCAGATTCAATGTTTATGCAAAACTAAAGTTTGTTTCCATATGAAAACATTCTACATTACATATCTGGGAAGAAGGGAAAACATGCACATTTCCAGTCAATTTTTCAATAAATATTAAATTTGGCCTGCGACTGCATCCCAGTTTTTAATTTTGGCCCACTATGAATTTGAGTTTGACACCCCTGCTCTACGGTAATGAGTGAACTCTGACCTAATTATGTTTAAATGCATGCTTTGTCATTTTGCTGTCCTGGCACACAAAGGGCAAAGCCATGTTAAGTTATATTGACCTTTGACCACTAGTGGTTATGTCATACTGGAAAAACAACAGTGTTAGGTAGAGACACATGACTCGTCAGTATGGGTGAGTTAAACATTAAACAAAACCAGCCCACGTTCTGACAGGGAATAAACTCCTCCTAAAATCAGATGGTTTGACTCCAGGCAGTTTCCAACCAACACAGGCCCAAACTGTACAACATTGCTAGAAGAGTAACAAAATGAACTGCAGTCATTCCTCTTGAATGACACACATAGACGCTAAGCATGATGTAGCATTTACATAATTAATGATTTATTAAGAATACTCGAATGGTCCCTGAAGGAGTGGCAATTTCTTTCATTCTTTCTCTCAATAATTTTCACTTTCTCCAATACTGTAGCCCTGCTTCATTTTCCCACAAATGGTGCTCTCCTACATCACTTATAATGACAAGGGTCTAAAAAACCATTGATACACTGAGATACTGTGATATTTTGTTTCACAGTAATGTATCGATACTATATAGTAACCAATATAGTTTTCCCAGTATTGTGATACACATCGTACCACCAGATTCTTACCAACACACACCTCTTACCATCACTGTAACATAGGGTTAAATTACCAGTGTTTTACTAGTAGTGTTGCTCTGCTGCTGTTTTTTTGGTTACTTACTTCCTTTGCGCCATTCATCAAGCAGTCATTTCCCTTAAGGTTTGTGTTGATGTCAGGAAAGTTGGAACTTTAAAGAACAAATATTAATACCTATGGAGTGTACAGCTATCACTGGCATATTGCAAAATGTGTTTTTTTTAACCAGTACAGTGGTTTTGGACAGACAAACATGTGGTAATGGTTTTTGCAAAATACTCCAGGTTTCCCTCACGTTTTCCCCTCACTTGTGAATAACATGGTTAATATTTACACAGGTCACACAACAGGAAACAACAATTAATTTCAGCTACTCTACAGATATCCTCAGAGAAAACATTCTTTAAACATTTACACCAACATGTAAAGCAATAAAGACAGTAGGTGTGTTTGGATCAAAGTATAGCTTTGATCTTCATGTTCTGCACTTCTGACTTTATTTTATTCTTCTTGTATGTTCTTAACTACCTGTATCATGATGCACATAGGACTGAAGTGTCTCTGACCTGTGGTAGGGCTCTCGTCTGTACTTCTTCATTGCCAGTCCATCCATGTTGGCAGGCAGGTCTGCATATTTCTGCAGTCTGTCACTCCATGAGGTGGTCATCTTTAAAAAACTGTCAAGGTCTGAGGAGAAACAAATCAAAAGCTCTTACTTTCTTACTTATATGAGCAGTGGAAAATGTGATCGTGTAGTGTGTGAGAATTTGGGTGGAGTCATCGAGGTTGGATTATTAAAACGGGAGAACAGGTTTCAACCTGCATTATCAGTGGCTGTGAAAGGATATCAGTCACTTAACAGACAAACATATCTCCTCTGTGACAAAAGTGTAACAGTGGCGACGTTACCTCTCACAACACCCATTATCATATAATGACCGTTTGATCAGTGCCAGCCTGAATTTGAGGACACAGTGAGCCATAAATGAAGGGAGAACATTCAAGTCATGGAGAAAGTAGAACAGGTCACATCAGCTCGGGTTTTAGACCCGGACTCCATTAAAGTCTTCCCTGTGACACTCACGGGTAAAAATAAGAGGCCACAGTGAAAGTACATTTACCATGAAATGAATTACAGACAACAAGTCACACAAAGACATGTTTGCAACAAAAACTACAGAAGCCTCATATGACATGTGATTAGTTGACCGCCCCACCTCCCCCTAAGCTCCTCCCACACGCACAAAAACGGACATTCAGACAAGGCACAAATCTATGAACAGACAAATGATATTTTGTCATCGAGTTGTAAATCTGTTATTTTGTGTGTAGTTTTTTTCTCTGTGGCTGGTGATGTTTTTTTTTCCTTTTTGATGCTGATGTTCTCCTACAGTCACTGGAAAGAAGGAGTTGAGGGGAGTTGAAGGAAGGGAAAAGGGAAGTCTTGTTTACTGTGTGAAAGCAGCACAAATGCAAAAGACACTGATATGCTGATGTGGCAAAGTTAAGTCAACAGGGTCACAGAGACACCGTGTCAAAGGTATCTTTTTACTATGTCCTGTACTGCACTGAACATCTACGTAGAATTTTTTTTGCACATTTATAACATTTCTCATTTTTAAGTAATTTTTATGAGCAAATTTGTAAAACCTGATGCCAGGCCTGTGCAAAACTGATCTGAAAACATATTAACACATGTTGCACTAGATCTATAGGGGAAAAAGAAATGTCCTCTCACATCTCATGCATGTAACCTAAGTGGGAAAATACCATACTCTTGTAAAACCAAAGACCTAACCTATACAGCAGAAAACAGAAAACCGTCAGTCTGCTGTTTACAATATATATATATATATGCACAAACCCGGTCACTGTCTCTTATAATCTGATTTTTTAAAAGTAATGTTTGTTTCTTATTTTTATAATATATGATATCAACTGTTGACAGGCCTTCGTGTATTTTACGCGAAACAATGCCATATTTTGTAATAATCACGGAACGAGACAGCAATCGGTCTCTTAGGGCCATTCTCTATCGCGATATTATCGTATTTAGCCGTACTATTCTGAGTTTATTGGTTTAAAAAAACGACAAAGAAGAGCAATGCCAATGCCGGATGTAGTGTATTTTCAAATAGTGTGACACGAATGTGACCGTAACCGACATAAAGTGGTAATAAACGAACTGGACACAGGCTAAAGCTACGGTTCAACACAGAGAGAAAGCCTAAATAAGCTGACAACACAACAAATAAACAGACGTTTGTTGAGGTTTTTAACTAAACTATTACCGTTGGCTAACAGTCGGTTGAAGGAGTCCCCTTCCTGCTCTGTCATGTCTGACACTGAAAAAAAAAAACAGAAGGCAACAGCGTTGTCTGCGTCGGTGTTGATGCCAAAACAACAGACACAAAGAGAAGTGAGGGGACAGAGGAGAGGAGGAGGCACATTTGACTGCTTCTAATCATCAGTGAGCAGGAACACATTACTGTACTCACCTCTGAGTTCCAGATTAAAACTACTGCACCGTCTGTGGCTCTGCGCATGCGCCGTGAGCTTCTGAAAAGACTGAAGGGAAATTAGAAGATGTGTGTTTGTTGTTGTTCTCGTTGTTGTTAGTGAGGTGCTAACGTGTTTACTCTGTAGAGTCCAGCAGAGGGTCAATCTTCCTGTCCTGACTTCGCTTCTCGGTCTGTCCTTCTGCAGCCAGCTGTTGTTGTGAGACATTCAAGGGGCGTGGCCTAACAATGTATGTCATGAGGAGGCGGGTCTTCCTCCTCCCCGTCTACAGTCACATGACCCTTACGTCAATGAAATGAAACAACAACAATGAAACAATATTGTGACTTTGATGCAGCAAATAATAATTTATTTTTCTTATTTTTCTTGTTCTTCTTTATTGCGATTCTTTTGTCACAGATCACCATTTACATGTGTCTTCATCCACTCCACCCACCTGCAGCGTACTGTAAAAGTATAATGTGATATTTTAAACCACAATATTTGAAACCAAACTAAATTAGGCTAAGACTTGCATTTCACCCGTGCCTTTGGTTTTACCATACACAAATGTTACATAAAACTGTTTCTGTTTGAAACATCAGCAGTGCTGAAAGTCCATACAATGGCCTCATTCCTGGTTCCATAACTGTTGACAGTTACATAAGAAGAAAACATTTGGTTCAATACCAAAAGCTTTATTTGTCCCCACAGGGCATGTACAGGGAAAGGCAAACAAAATACAAAAATATTCAATGTTTCCTGAGTGATTTTCAAATGTTCAAAAGCTCAGCAGAATGGATCATACATTATACATCATCATACATAGTTATATGTCTTCTGTTAAAAACATACGAAATAATATAAAGATATGTATCAAAAGGAACAGTGCTTCACTGGACACACATTCTATAAAATCTGTAATTGCTTTTGCATATTTGTAATATTTTTAAATATTCCTGAAGCTTATCTGAATATAGAAAAGAGATGTTACGCTTCTACCACAGTCTTAACAGAGGCTACACATTTACGTCATACATTCCTAAATTAATTTAGGTTTTACTGACACAAATGATCCATCCATCTATCTATCTATCTATCTATCTATCTATCTATCTATCTATCTATCTATCTATCTATCTATCTATCTATCTACAGTATCTATCTATCTATCTGGTGTGGACGGTGGTTTGACAACAGGGGGCAGCAGAGTCCTGTCGATGGGACCTTTTTTTTTTAGAGAGGGCTGTAAAACTAGACCTTAATCTAAGAAACAAGACAAATGTTAGTCAAAGGAAAATGTATGGATATTTTATTCAAAATAAATAAAATGTATTGTAATTAATACCAATAATCAATCTAATTTTACAGAAATTTCTCTCATACTTTTTAATACTACATGGAACTCACTTAGGAAGTGTACTTTTAGGCCGTCTTTGGTGTTATTGTTATTATTATTATTTTTACTTTGGGTCATAGATAAAAGGTCACATTTCATGTTGTGATGTTTTATTTTGGACATTTATTTCAGAACACTGAAATACAGACACAGACCACTCAGTCTTTGAAAACACAAAAACACATATATAACACTATACGACTGTACTGTTCATACTCTGTCCGCTTGTCTGGCTGTACTTGGTGTGTAGTGTTGTTGATCTGCTCCTGGTCTCCCCCTCTTGCAGTAAAAATCTAGTATTTTGCCACTTTTGCCAAGACACTGCTCAGTGTGTCATAGTTTTTATTATTATTATTATGTATAAATGAAAAATACATTGTGGTCAAATGCTATAATTTATGATGACATGACTGTATTATGTTCTCATATTACAAGTCCAAAGATAAACTTGACTTGACGTAAGGTGGGCTCGAGGTTAGGAAAAATATACTACATTTTGTTTTCGTGTGTTTCAAATGTGCAGCAAGGACCCAAGCTCTGACACGTCACCCCTGCGCCAAACAGGACAGTTCCATCTGCTGCGCACAGAGACCAGCCCCAGTTACGCGCATCTGGAGAACGGTGAGGATTAGTGAAGTGGAGTGTTTTTAAAAAAAGAAAAACAATCATAACAAACGTATCTACGTTGTCTGCGTAAAGACTGGACAACCTGAGGCACCTAGAACGGACCGTGGCGGATTATTACGACAGAGCATTGAGAAGTCAATGGGCTGGTCCCTCTATAAAAAGGGGACGCGCCCACTTCTCTGCTCTGTCTCAGAACAAGTCAAGATGAGCTACGGATCTGAAGTCTTCTCCTCTTCCTCCTACCGGAGAATTTTTGGCGATTCTCCGCGTTACGCTTCCTCTCCTTCGCGGACAACCATGAGCGCATCTCCTCGTGGAAGTTACCGTTCCTCCTCTCTGTCCAGGAGCAACGTTCCATCTCTGGGCTCCTACAGCAAGAAGTCCGGGCGCTCCTTCTCTTCACCGATGCCGCTGGAGACCTTCGACCTGGCCCAGAGCAGCGTGCTCAACAATGAGTTCAAAATCATCCGCACCAATGAAAAAGAACAAATGCAAGGTCTCAACGACCGCTTCGCGATGTTCATCGAGAAGGTGCGCAACTTGGAGCAAAGCAACAAAGTGTTGGAGACGGAGCTGGTGGCGCTGCGGCAGAGGCAGAGCGAACCGTCCCGTTTGGCTGAATTGTACCAACAGGAGATCCGAGAACTGCGCTCCCAGCTGGAAGAACTGAACGGAGAGAAGTCCCAGCTCCTGATCGAAAGAGATAACATCGAAGACGACCTGCAGAAACTCAGGGGGAAATATGAAGAGGAGTTCCGTGCCCGGGAGGAGGCGGAGGCCACCCTCAAGGCTTTCAAGAAAGACGTGGATGATGCTACCATGGTGCGTCTGGACCTGGAGAAGAAGGTGGAATCCCTCTTGGATGAGATTAACTTCCTTAGAAAGGTGCATGAAGAAGAGGTAGCCGAGCTCACAGACATGATCCAAGCAGCCCAGGTGTCTGTGGAGATGGAGATGTCCAAGCCGGACCTGACCTCCGCCCTAAAGGAGATCCGCGGCCAGTATGAGTCCATGGCGTCCAAGAACCTGCAGTCTGCCGAGGAGTGGTACAAGACCAAGTTTGCGGACCTTTCCGAGCAGGCCAACCGGAGCACTGAGGTGATCCGGGCTAGCAGGGAAGAAATGAATGAATTCAGGAGGCAGCTGCAGTCCAAGACCATCGAGATCGAGAGTCTGAGGGGAACCAACGAGTCTCTGGATAAGCAGCTGCGCGAGATGGAGGACAGGCACATGGTGGAGATTAGCAACTACCAGGTAATTTCATTGTATTGACCAACTCGATATGGGAGGTTTTGTGTACGTTTATTATGAACTATAAATGTTATTTTAATGAAATATACCACGGTTGCTTTACTTTTTATTTTCAAAAAATATTGAACAACATTTTTTTAGCAGGACCAGCTGTTGCCGCTCTGGCTCTGTCCGTGGTGCTGAAAACTCTCCCTCCTGGGACACGAGCTCAGCAGCTGCATCCGACAACGCCCACCTAATAACTGTGGCAGAGATGAGATATTTTAGCCAATTTAGCCTTTTAGTTATTATTACGTATAACTAAAATTACGTTGATCCAGCAGTAAACCGTTCCTCTGTGCGCAAAATCGACTGTAATTACACTCTGGACAGAATAAAAAAAATTTCCTTTGTGTAAAAGCTGGAACTGTCCATCAGCAAGCAATTGACAAGCGACATATATTTGCTTTTTTCATTCCATTGTTCTTAGGAGAGCATGGCTGAGCTGGAGAATGAACTTAGGTCCACAAAGAACGAGATGGCTCGTCACCTCAGGGAGTACCAGGACCTGCTGAATGTCAAAATGGCTCTGGATATCGAAATTGCAGCCTACAGGTAAACTGTAGTATCAAATATTTTACATGTTCTTTTCATATGTCTGACGTTTTTGTAAACATCATAAAGGTGTAAAACACGGTGCAGTGTTTTTTTTTTCTTTTTAGTTTAGCTTTGTACTGCAGGTTCATGTCATACAGAAGGACAGCTTCATTTATGTTGGGCCACATCTTCACCTATCCAACGTTCAGCATTCTGTGACCTTGTGCAGTTACATTATTGATTGATTTGTTGCGATTGCTGCTTACTTATTTGCACCTGGATTCTTTCTTTCGAATAAAAACAAATCAAATCATATCTACAGGAAACTTCTTGAAGGAGAGGAGACTCGCATTGGCACAGGCATGACCTACTCTGCCCCCTCCATAACTGCTGGGGCTGGGCAAGGCTACGGCTACCAGACCCGCATCTACAGCAGCTCTAGCAAAGGTTCCAAGAAGGAGGGGAAGGAAGAAGACCAGCAGCAGGAGAGCAAATCTGGAGGCAAAATGTCCCACCGTGAAGTTTACGAGGAGACAGTGGTCACCACTAAAAAGATAGAGAAGCAACCAGACGCCAGTGATAACACCACCAATCAGAAAAACTAAAATCCCGTTTCTAAAACCGAAAACCTCCCGTTATCCCATTAGCCTAACCTCTACATTCATTACTGCCCTAAAACAAACCTAGCTAAGGTCTCTGAGTAGTTTCTAAGTGAGATGGTAGGAGTCTCTTAAATCAGGAGTACAGTCACTGGGTTCTGGGTTTGTTTTATGTTGTTCTATCATTCTATTTCTCCTCACATGCGTTCCCTTAATCAGTGGTCCTCAACCCCCTGGCCAATTGGTACTGGACCACAGACAAAAAAATGCATAACTTACATTACCGGATTTTCGGATTTAACATGAAAAGAATAACAGGTACTTCTATGACTAACATACTATCAGCACATAGAGTTTGATACTGTAGACCATGAAGCACTTTTATCACATAAGATGATCTTAACACATATAGAATTCAATGTCTGCACAGAAAACAGGTGTCTGCCGTGCAAAGATAACAAGACAGGAAGTGAGTGAACGTTGTAGAATTATAGGATCCTGGCCAAAATGAACATCATCATATAATGACAGTGCAATAACTGAGCCATAATTCATGATGCCGTCAGTAAGACTGGAGCTTCAAAAAACCAAGTGTCTCCTCCTATCCTCCTTTCCTCCTGCACAATGATCACAGCCAACGAGCCACTGTTTGAATGAGTTACACTATAGGGGTCAGTTTACCTGCAGCTACTTTAAAGCTTTTTTAAATGGGATGACTTGTAGTGACGGAGCACAATTTGCATGGTGAATGTAGAATTCCATTGTTTGCATGGTTTCAAATGGTCCGTCAATCCATCCATCCATCCATCCATCCATCCAGCCACACTTCCCTTGATATTAGAGGTTGGCCTATGCCATTGCCATGGGACTGTTAAGCTGTAAATGGTAGAGTTGGCAGGAATGTCTTACAAGAGTCACGTCCACAGTCACTAGTCTTTCCCTGTTCCTTCGATTCAGATATTCAGAGTTTTGGCCAGTAAACACGTACCTGATAGGTGGCAGTGTTGCAATGTAAAGTGCATTAGCTTCAATTAAACACAAAAACAGGGGCATTGTGTTAGCAGAGGGTATATATGGGTGTACTTCAGAGCAGTGAGCTTATTATAGCCAGTAGGTTCATTTCTAAGGTTTCCAAAGATATAAATATGAAAAAAAGTTGTACCACTGGAGTTAATGTTCAGACCAGAACAAACTGCACGCCCTGCAGGAGAGAGAGAAAACTCCTCTTACTCAGAATCCCACACAAAATTCCTGCACACTCTACCTAAGAAGTTTAGACCCTGGCTTCATTCTTACTAATGTGTGGGAATCATTATGGGCATTTATTACTCGGTGTCATTGACTTTTGCTAGCTAGCTTGTAGGTCAGCTTTAAGACAAGGCTTTTAACAGTCTCTAGGCTTAGTTGGGAAGGAAAAGATTAGATTAGTTTGCATAATGTGCTGTGTAAGATCTGCTGCAAGATGATGGGAAAATAAATAATAAAAAGAAGAAAGCAAGGCCTTTTCTCCTCTGGATGATTGAACAGATTTTTAGTCTCATAAACTGTACTGTACTTCAACAAAACTCACACTACACTCTGGACTCAGTGAATAGCTGCCAAACCTTGTTGTGTGTGACAAATGTTCACCTCTGTGTTTGTGCCTGTGGCCATGACTGGATAAAACGCCTGTTGTAGTCTGAGCGCACCAATAGATATCTTTCAGTGTGATAGACTCGTAGCTTTTAACTCATGCGTTTGCACTGCTGTTGCAGTTGGTCATGTTTGTAACACATGCACTGACACAATGCACTTCAAACCAAATAGACAACTACGGATCTCCTCTCCTCACTGTCCCAGTTCAGGTTCCTGCTGTTTCATATGAGGCTTGTGAAAACTTCCTAGTACTGTAGCAAGTGCGTTCATTTTCCATACACCGTGGACCACCATTACTAGACTGTTCTATCTCATGAAAAACGTATGTGAAGTACAAGAACATATCAAAGAAAAAAAACAGTAGAATAGTTCTAGGTTTTCCACTGGCATCAACAGTTTCCACACACATAGAAAAAAACCCCTCCAGCACAGCCAACCCTTCCAGAGCACATACATCTGGCATGCACATCTCTGAAAATACTACCCACATTCTCCACAGTCCTAAAATGCCAACATTTAGCCAAAGGACAAACACTGTAGGGTGTAAATGCCTTAAAACACCAGCAGCAGCGTTCCCTGGCCATGTATTTGATTCTTGTGCAAATATTTAATTGTTAGTGTTAATTAGAGCTAATGTGACTCAACGAGGCATATAGATTGAATGTAGTTGACGTGCTGTTCTCTTTACTGTTGCAACTAATGCATTGCTGTATGAAACCACTTCAATAAAGACGTGACGTTAATGAGGTGCACATCATTCTGTTGTCTGTTTTTATTATTATTATTTTATTATTATTATTATTCATCAGTTAAAAGATAATGAAAAAACAAATCCCCGAAGTCCAGAGAATGTATTTGTGTGCAGCTAAATTTCGGACACTACAGTTCGCGTCCTTACATTTAAAATCAACATCACACCTAACAAAACTGTCCCATGTACATGTGCAAACCTTTTTGAAGAGGGGTACATTTTAAAGAGGAAATATCATTCTTCTCAACAAGTACATGTTAAAACAACAGAGTTGAACCAAAGTGCTGGAAAATAAAAACTAATGGCAAAATCATCTGCATAACAATGACATAGATGACACCCATAAAGGAGCAGGCTCAAAGAGAAAAGAACGGGCGTGAGTATTGAACCCTGAGGAACCTCACCTCAGGGAAGTGGGACGATAGAAACTGCGGTCCCACAGATATGGACGAAAAACCGAAACGTCTTCAGTCCTATCAGAGTCAAACAATCATCAAACACAGTGTTTTTGTTTTCATCCTTGAGGTGTGTGATAAACTTTGGCATCAGGCGATGGGGCGAACTGTGTCTGGCAGGTCTGAAGATGAAAGATGCAAAGAAAAAAGATTGGCGCCACCAAAACCCTGTGTGTGGAGTTCATCCTCCTTCTGTGGGAAAGAAATGACAGAGAAAATACGAATAACCTCCGTCAGCGTCAGGTCCATGCTGGCTTCTCTGATGAGGAAAGCAAAGTCACCTTGACCTTGTACTTAAAGATTATTATTTTTTCTTCGTGTGATTCTCAAGGCTGTGGTCCAGATGTCCAATACAGGGACATGATAGATTACCTGCTGCTGTACTGACTGTTGACCTCTGATCCACAGATGCTTCTCCACACTCTCCTAGACCTTGGCACCTGGGGCATAGAGGATCATCTCCAATTAACTCATCTCGCTCTCAGACACCATCAGGGTGCGCTGACGGTGGCCGCAGTACGTTAAAAGATTTATACTCCTGCAGAGATGCCGAGTCAAAGGGGTGGTGAGTGCCTTCCAGTTACTGTAACCACCCTGGTATGAAACAGCTCCTCTTCTATTTGCTTCACACTTAAAGAGGGCTTGAGCTTTCTATTTTAACTCTCACCTCACAGTCTCCTTGAACCTCTGGAACAACAGCAGAGTGGGTGTGAAAGTGTTACCTACAAAAACACACGGCAGCTGCAGCGGACTGTTGGACATTAAATGATTAAATGATCAGAGCATGTTTATCTAATTGGCTGAGTTGATCATTTAGCTGATTTCCTATTCTGTATTTCTGAAAATAAAATTAAAAAGGATCAGAAAGAGTATAATGACCACATTTTTTTATGCACGCCTCGGTGCCGCCTCCAGCTCAGCTCCCACAGGCAGTTGTCGCAGCGATTGCGACAATGGTTCCATTTCATCTCTTCAGGGGGAGGCCTGTTTTATCGTGTGTCTGGTGATTAGTGTCTGCGTGGAGCCGTAAAGGAGTCAGAAATGAGAATCCGGCAGTGGAGCGGGGAGGTCATGACCATAAATTTCACATGTTTTTCAGTCCCCATGAATCTAAGCCACACCCTCGTCAACCCAGGTTCATCACAGCTCTGACACACGCATAAAGGAAACCCAGGAAATGTCGTTCTCTGAAGATGACAGCCTCAGAGCTAAGGAGCACAGGGCTGTTATCGTTATCATCATCGAAGACTTAGTCAATGACCAAGTCTCAAACCAAACAGAACGTTATGTGGACATAAATAACAACGACAAAACGTAGGGACGCATTAGAGACGAATGAATAATAAAAAAAAACCAACACTTTTTGTTTTCATTGGTTTAATCGATGAATAAAAATAAATAAATACTAACACTTTTTGTTTTCATTGGTTTAATCTAATTTAAATTTAGCAGACCAAAATAAAAGTAAATTTGGGACCAAGTCAAAATTTGGTCCAAAGTCTGGTACTAAATGAAAAAAACATCAGGCCTTTATAATGTGAAATTAATCTTAAACCACCTGATGCAGTAGACGGCGCTCCCTATATTTTTTCTGTCCCATTTATTGTTTTGTACACAATACAGAGGAAGTACACAATACCCCTGAGGTTACTCTGGAGAGTATTCATTCATAAACATTAGTCTTAATGATTGACAGGCACAATTAGTAGTCAATGAACCTGAGTCAGCTATGGTTTGCTGTTGCAGGCCTAGACTGCTGAGGATACTCCCGCACTGCAGTAAAAACTCTATGTCCACACACACACCCACATATATAATAATACAGTATTAACCCCATGTCTGTTTTTTTTCATGAAGTCTCTTTTTTGGATAGGGGTGGGAGGCACCCTTGAAGTCTCTTTTTTTGGATAGGGGTGGGAGGCACCCTCCCATGGGGCATAGGGGGCCACTAATAAATGGATCTGACAGCGGTCGAGTCAAAATGTAGACAGTAGTTCATGAATCATGGTGGGCAAATATGAGCCAAGTCTTAGAACAAACGTGAAAATGTGTGAAAGAAAGAAGTCATTCATGTTTGACCTGTTTTTGTCTGTGGAGCAGAGATCAAAACTGTAAACCCTGCACTGCTGATGCTGGCACGCTGCTGCTGCTGAGGTTGTGGTTGCCTTGGAGCCTGTTGCTAACACGCCGTTGCCGCTGCTGCTGCTGCTGAGGCCTGAGGGAATGACCGTCTCAGAGAGACACAGACAAGTCTGCTCCGGTTCAGACAGACAGGGAGACAGACACAGATGAACAAACAGATTTCAAGTGATTTTAAGTGAAAACAGCACCGGCCTGAAATGTGAGGCGTTGAAGAATGAATATGACGAGACCGGATTCAAACGACGGTAAAAACACTCGAGTTTAATGGATATCAGGAAAGATGATGTCACTCTTCTCAGACTGTAGGCGCTGAGTCACATCCAGACAGACTCCCATAAGTGACTTGGCGTTCTCTGTGTTCACCAAACCGTGCATGGATTTTTTTTCATCGCCCTTTTCATTGCTAATAATAGCAGCAGGGGAAGAAGCACACAGACAGACAGAGAGAGTGGGAGAGGTTAGTCTGTGAGCAGAGAGAAAGGCGGCTGAAGTCAAAGCTCCTCAGAGGAGTGATGAGTGGATTGGAGGGTGTTCAGCTTCAGACTTACAACAACATCAGCTGCAGGCGCCGTCTCCTCTAATCAGCCAATCCACCTGTTACTGGAAACAAGGTCTTTATAGGACATATCCCACAGGTGTGAGGAGTTACACGATGAGATGACCGTTCATTTTAGGTAATTGTTTTGTCATGCACAAGGAAAAAGGTTGGGTCCACTGACAAGAGACCACTCAATACAATAGGTAATTTTGAATCAATTAGAACCACAGACAAAAAATGCTCTAAACCAATCAGATGCAAATCCTAAATGACTATTATGCTGTCGATCAATTCAAGTTTTTCTCACAGGGTATATGCAGATTAATCCTGATTAATCTGCATATACCCAGTGGTCTACTTGAACCTCTGTTTGACATTCCTTCAAAGGAAGAGAAACAGAGGTTTAAGCAGAAACATTGACTGTTCCAACGGTGAAGACCGCACGAATACATGATTCAGAGCTGTGTTTTATGTTACACTTGTTATCAGTCTGCCAACCTGATCACACCGAGACTGTTTTTATTCTCAGGTGATCAGTTTATTTCTGC